TATGAAGGTGCCAGAAGCTAGCTGTTACCCACCAGCATTATCCTCACGGATTAAGGTATCACCATTCAAAGTGAAAAGGAAGAGAGGAAAGGAGATCCAGATTACAGAATAACATAAAATCCACTAATGTTTACTGCTTTAAGAAAAGGCTGAGGGTAGAAGAGCCTACACATGGAACTGCTTCATGAATAAGGATGGTCAGAAGAAAGCAACTTCACAAATCATATGGAAATCTGGGTATAAACTGGAGAACTGAGAACAGACATATTCCCTGTCCTCTGGATGGATCCTTTCAAATATCTTACTGAAAATTTCAGGGGTGTTCCATTTAATTTCTTCAGATTAAGAAAAGAATATGGTAGAACAGGATTAGTATCAGTCTTTAACGATGAGAGCAATTTATTTATCCTATTTTTGTCCAAGTTCACATTTGTACTGTGTGCACAGACGGCCAGGGCTGTGATTAAACGAAATGCTTTTCACACACACATACAAAAATGAACTCACAATGGCTATGATCAAATGAATCCATCAATTCTTGCCCATTTAAGTCAGCTCCCTGTCCATTCTCTCTCGTTTCTTCCTATTGTAATGATTTCACTCTTCTCTTGGTAAAGAAAGTTTTGTGAGGATAAGGTTTGGGAACAACTTTAGACTATGAACTACAAAGAGTTTCTTCTGTAAGCCAAGTGTTTATTATATACTAATTGCAATGTTTACTATCAGGATCTACAACTTTAAAAATCTACATTAATTTCTTGTATTTCCAAACGTATCCAGCTTTCCCAGCAATTTAAATAAAAAATTTAATGTTAAAGATTGGGCTGAATTTATATATTGTGACAAGCAAGTATCTGTGCTTCTGCATAATATAGATAAGGTTTTCTCCCACCTTCCCAAATAAATGAGGAATAATAGAACAAAATAACATAAGAAAGAGGTATAATTGTGCTTTTCTTCCCAACGATGGATGAACTGTGTAGAATAAATTGGCAAGATAATCTCACTAAGAATCTTTTAATTAATCTTATTTTCCCTTTTAAAAAATGCTAATTTCTAACAATGCTACCATGAAGTACAAATCAGTATGGCCCTAAACAAAATGAAAGTTGGATGCCTTTGGTTCCATTTCTCTACTAATAAGTTGAGCAAACTGGGATGGTATTGATCTTTCTTAACAAATAAATAAAAGAAAGTGTGTTTTATATCAAGTAATGAATGGATAGGAACAATTATTTTTTTGATTCTAAAAGATTGCCTATATAACTTCAGAAACATTTAAACTAACACAGCACTCAACATATTTCTTAAATCAAGAACAATAATATTGTTCTTCTGAGAAGCCCTTTTCTAGGTCTTTCTCCTCTGTCCTTTAGATTTATACAGGGTACAAATAGAGTTTATAACCAAACCGCCCTGCTTGTGATAAGCAGGAGTCAAACCATTACATTCACTGCTCCCCAGGCGGGGCCCACTGCCATGGGCAAATACAGCATCACTATAAACACATTTGGAATTAGTCTTTGGCTTAATGTGTATTAACCAAATTCAGGAATAAAATAAAACTTGCATAAAGATTAAGGGGAAAACAAAGAATGACCACAATGAACTGTGATGACCTATCTGGTCTTTTCTCTTAGAAGTACAGAAACTCTACCAAACATTTCTTTCTGGCCAAATGGACCCCTTAATTTCCAGACTCTCCCATATAAGGTGGCTAAAAGTTAAGTCTGAGTACCTTAGATTAGAAGATTCAAAGCATTTCTTGAGATGATAAAAAAGATGATGCAAAGTAAAAAAGGACTAAAGGTTGAGTCATGAAGCAATACGGTCAGTAGACTACCTAGGGATGATGATGGGGATTCAATTTTAAGTTAAACACCCATCAACAAGCTGTTTTAGTGTTTCGTGTATACATTTCACAACTTGTTTCTTAAATAAGAGAATAAAAGAAAAATTCTAAGAGTTACCTTTGTCTAAAGGATGGATTTCTTCTTTCGAACACAGGTTTTTATGCTGGTTTAAAGTCTGTCCTCACAAAGTGATCCACACTCATACCCACACAAAGGCAGAATCCCTTTATCCCAAACTGATTAGAGACTACAGACAGGGCAGGGAATAGAAGACCACTGTACTGACATTTAAAGCTTAGTATCTTTTTTTTTTTAATATGAAAGTCTATTGGCGATCTTATTTAAGAGAGGGAGTATCTCTGAACCACGTAGGAAAACAAACAAAAACGGCCTCCTTGCTCCTCCTCTTAATCCACGGGGCTTGAGTCGCTTGGGACTCAACACTTCCTTTGGTAGCGATTTGGGAAGTGAATACTACAACCTCTAACCCAGTCTGGTGGGTATCAGCATTTTCCTCCCTGAATCCTTCCTCCTAACCTACCACTCCCGAGGGAGGGACCCATCCCTGTGGGCAGCTACAGTGTAACTGACAGCCCTAAAATCATCTGCACAGACTAAAATTAGAGATGTCAAATCAGGGTAAAAGGTCAAATTCAACTACATCAGAGAAACAGAGGGATGAAGAGGAGAAAAATTAGTAACTGACACTGCCATTCTATTTACACACCAAACTAACTAAACTACTTAAAAAATCAAGTTAATGTCTGCCCAGAGGATATTACAATTTACCAACATAAAAGATTAAAACAAGCAGCAACTTTTATATAAAATTAATAAAGACAAATGAAAAAAAGAAATTGTCAGTAGCATCTATCTCCTCAATGTGTCTGAACTGCACGATATAAACTAGTCCATTAGTACAGCAGCTTGCTAAAAATTGACTTTGGTTCAAGCTTAGTTAAAAAAAACAACATTAAAAAAACATACCACACATAAAAATGGTGGATGGACATTTGTTAGTTTCCCTGCTTGCAGTTCAATGATTTCAGAGGGATTTTAGGAAGGTGAAGGGTACTTTGTGAAATAAAATGGGAAGACAAAAGAAACAGAAGAAAAACTAACAAGGGAACTAAAACGTTTCTGGCCTTTTAATATTAATATGCCTGTCTCCAACTTGAATGATCACAAACAAAAATACACACAGTGTCTGTATCACTGCCTTTCCCAACACTGAGACAAATACACAGAATTCAAGCTCCCTCGTGGACACAAGCAGAGCAAGAAGAAAAGTTACCTGTAAGCTCTCTCTCAGCCCCAAGCTTGGAAGGGGGAAAAAGTGCAGTCATGGAACCACCAGAGATGTGCACGACCACCCACAGATGCCAGGTGGGAACCTCTAATTCCAATAAGAAGGGAGCTCAAATGAGCTGCATTGCAGCAATCCAGTCTTTGGGAACTTTTTTGGATACAGATACTATAATAATAGAACACTGACAAAAAGGGAAATCTGATCTCCAGGTTACCCTTCCTGGAGAAGGGAAACCTTCATTCCTATTCATCTCCTTCCATAAACATTTCCTTTTCATGGGCTCATTTACATCGTCTAGAAATACCCTGAAAACAATTAAAGAAGCTAACTGACTTCTACAATGAATAAAGAGATGTGTATTGCCATTTAGACCTACCTAGCAGGAGCATCACTAACAAACCAAGGAGACATGTGAGGTGTGTATAAAGTTCCTGCTCAAAGTCTTTCAAAGGTTCTACAGATCCCGTATTTGGTTAATTAGTGCCTTCTCCAGTAAGAGAACCAAGGAGAGTATCAGGGTTAGAGGAACTGATAAGCCATCTACTGAAAAGGAAGTCTGTGGCTAGAGGAGAACGTGGTCACCTCACATTCTTCTCATCACACCTCTTTGGGTGATCTATAACCAATGAAAAACAGTCTAGTAGAGTTCCTTCAATAAACAGAAGAAGGGAGGGAAAAGTTTCCCAGTTTCAGTAAGTCATTTTGTTCTTTGCCAAATAAGTTAAAGGAAGTTTGGATGAAAAACTTCCACCACGTGGAAAAAACAAACACACACACCAACAGTAGGAGCATTTCAGGAGATAAGAAACCAGGAGAACCACCAAGTCAGGTGTCTGCAGTAGTCTTTGCTCTGTGGAACCAGACCGTGCCCTGCAACGTGTGCAGCCATTTCCATTGAAAGTAGCAGGAAGCAGCACCGCTGCGCCACAGGGTCTGGGCCTCGGGTCAGTGATCCGGGCGAGTGAGAGCTACAGTTCAGCAGGAATTCCTTCCCACACAAAAGTGCTCCAAAGGCGCCGCCTGATGGGGGAGGGGGCGCGTGTGGGGTGGGAGTGTTTGCACACACTGCCTTCAGCTTCTGCACCAAGCCTCTTGCATAAGTGGCAAAAGAAAACCATTTTCTAGCACCTCTGTGAGAGTCGTAAAGGACAGGGAAACCAGCAAGAACACCCCCCGCAGTTCAGAATCTAACCCCCTTACCCGAAAGCCCTCCCACCCCGCAGCGCGGGGGCTCACCGAGATAGGATCCAGGAGCAAGAGGCAGACATGGTCAACCTATATATATATATGTAAGCTATATATATATATATAAAACAATAACAACAATAACAACAGAGGTACAGTAATGCAGGCCTGCCTAAATTGTACCAGTTAAGAAAGGAACCCCCAACACAACTGATATGATTATAAACACCTTGTTATGACTTAATGGCCTGTACAACAGACCCATAAAAATGATTTTTTTTTAAAGAAAAAGAAATTTAGACAAACAAGAAGTCCCCTTCCTATATCGGAATTGGTAACCCACCTTAACTTGTCATCATGACTGCTGGAAATGATAAGTAGTCCTTTCACTTATTTTTTTGTTTGTTTTTGATTTTTTTGTTTCTGCCTTTTTTTTTTTTTAAATTTTTGGTTAGAAAGTTCTCCAATCCATGAAGCAATCCTGAAAAGACAGTGTTTTATTAAAAAATTAGGCAAATTTGCTGTCCCAGCTCCATCTTTCTTTCCGCCATGTGTTTTTCTCTTCTCTCCCTCTGCTCCCTTGCCCTTGCGACATGGCAACAGGAAGTCCATCACGTGTTTCAGTCTCTGCCAGCAGTGCCGCTCGGCCCAGCTCACTGCGCCTTGGAGGCAGTGGTGGTGGTGGAGGTAGCCCCGCTGGCAGAGGCCACAGTGAAAAGAGAGTTCTGGACAGACTCAGCTGAGGTGGAGGTGGCATGAAGGCTGGCTACAGGTCCAGAATTCCCTGCAGAGGTTGCAGCGGCAGAGACCAAGCTAACTGGGTTGCTGGTGAGCAGAGAGAGGTTCTGAGGGGTCAGGAACAGAGGGGCAGTCACGATGTTGGGGGCTCCTCCTGCATTGGCAAATACCAGGTTCCCAGTTGCATCCAGTGACGTTATTGGAAGAGAGCCACCAGAAGCAAGAGCTACAGACAAACCCCCCAGAAAACAGGTAGGAAGGAGAATGTTAGTACCAGCTTGGAGTCGACAAAGAACACATCAAATGTCCTAAGTTTTCCTGCAACTCAGATGAAAAAAGTTTATCCCTTAACTGATTTTTTTTCCCTTAATCACAGTGCTATAATTTATCAACCAAAGTTTATTTATAATTTTAAAAGAGCCTAGAGGACTGAAAACTCTAATGAGCATGAACAGGATAGGGGAGAAGAGAATCAGAGTTATATTTCTATCCTGAAATCTCAACTTATTTCATCTACCCAGAAATATCTGTTAAATCCAATAACTTTGATTTAATGAAGATTACTGACTTTAGAGTGACTCCATTCAAAAGACTACCTTTTCCTGTATCTGAAAACCCCCCACAATCCCCTCACCCATATAATCACACCCTCACATGTATATTTGAGGGTTTTTCCTAGTGGCATTAAAAATTTGATTTCTTACATAATTAAAAAAAGCAAGAGGAACTGAGGGAACATCCCTGACTTTGGATAGGATCACACAATGAGTACAGAACAGTGAGTCCTGGTGCGGCTTGACATTTTCTGAGACTCCAGGCTTAGGGTCATAGTCCAGTTCTAGATCTTCCCATACAGTACCTCTTCGGTACACAGCTGTGTCTTTTTAGCATCACCACAGACCAGACACACATTGTAATGCAAGAAAAAAAGTGATTTATCACAAATCTTACTCCAAAAAGAAATCATTTTATAATAAAAGCTTTATAGATCTAACCAGGAAGCAATTTCACATATGATTTAATCAATGAGAAAGTCAATATAACGTACGTTAATCTAAGTGATATTTGGATTTGTCTGGAACTAACTGCCTACAGTATACTGTAGAGACATCATTCATGAAACACTAATCCTAAATGAAGTTTAGCAGTTTAAAAACTGTTTTTGACTCCAAGAACTCTCATTTAAGCACGAATTATTTTTTAAGAAAAAGTTCTGAGATTAGTATAGTGATGTCTCAAAGTGTTTCCTTGAATCACATAACAGCAAGCATCTTCAAACACAAAGCTCAAATACTAAACAAAGCAGACTCTTCAATATATAGAATGAGTGGACTTAAGACTCATTTTAGACTGCACAGCATGCTAAGGCCAAAAGGGACCCATCTGGGCTTGGGAAAGAGATGTTAAAATCCAAGAGAATATAAGCTCTACAATGATGAGGATATACAAACGGCAGAACCTAATCAGAATTAAAAGTACTCTTGCAGGCTGCATGATGTCCTCCAACGTTAATCTGTTACAGAGCCTTCTTGCATATGGCTCTTGAGGGTGAGGATGGGGCCTGGGGAGTTTTACTTGGTCAAGCTTGCCTGGGGATGGTTCTTGGATGACTATTTAGATAAATTTAGGAAGCAATGCCTCCAAGCCTATATTATAAGAAGATAAATATTAGCATGAAAGTCCTGGTTTCTCTCTGTTTTTCTGGTCACACTGCAGCCGGCAGGATTTCAGCTCCCTGACCGGGGATGGAACCTGCGCCCCTGTGGTGGAAGCGCAGTTTTAACTGCTGGATCGCCAGGCAAGCTCCAGTCCTGGTTTCTTAATACACCACACTGAGCATATTTCCTGTTCTTACAAACTGACACCTCTATTTCCCTTACAAAGCTTTTTATAAGAACACATTCCTGGTCCTTAGGTTAGTCAGCATTATCAATTCAACTATCTCTTCCTATCACTTTCACCTCTAGCAAAGCAGACTTCCTCCATTTAAGAAAAAAAAAGAGAAAGGGAAAAAATTCTACTGACCTTGAATAGTTGCCAGTGTACTGTTGCTCATCAGAGCTGGGCTGAGAGCACCACCTAGGGTTCCCGGATTGAGACTGAGTAAGGCACCTCTGAAAGACCGGAAGAGCAGACACATTATTATAACGTAGACACATGTGTCAATTCGACAACATACCCAAAGGGAAGAGAAAAAGGAAAATACAGGTGGGAAGTATATGGGAATATGTGTTATTCTTTTTATACTCTTTACATGGTGCTTCCAAATTACTGCTTTCCTTGATGCTCACTTATACAAGCAAAGCACGGTTATGGTCCACACAGAATGTAAAACTTAAGTCATTTTGACTCTTTGAGTTACTCTGTTCTCTTTTTTCCAAAACAAGAGAAAAAACTGACAGAGCAAGGAATACAGTTACGAACTAATTCTTAAAAAGTGTAAGGACAGGAGCCGGAACTCTGCGCTTCCCCCCTGGCCCCGTCACCCAGGTACGATCGGTGGCCGGGTGTTCGGCGCCCTCATCTGGGGAGGCGAGTGTGACCCCAGGCTGTCAGGAGACTCCAGTCCAAGCACAGTCCAGTCCTGCGCTACTACAGAGCAACCTATCTCAAAGAGGCATGGCTTTAAAGTAAAGGGGTTCGCTTCCGCATCTAAGACAGCGTTGAAAAGTCTAGGGACGGCCCCCGCGTTGTTTCTCAGAGGTAAACGGGGCGGAAAGCGCCTTACCCAGCTGCAAACTGTGAGGGCGCCATCAGGCCTGGGTTGAGCCCCGCAGCCGCAGCCATGGCAGCAAGGCTGGCGTTCGCCGGCAGCGGGGCAGCTCCCTGCAGGGCGGCGGCTGCTGCCGTCTGCAGCCCTGAAGCTGTCACCATGACCTGGCTGGCCCCGAGAGGGGCGGCCAGGGGAGCGGAGGTGGTCTGCGTGGCGCCGGCCTCGCCGGCGCTGGAGGCCTCGGAGGCGGGGGCCGAGGCAGAAGGGGCGGGGCTCAGGGAGGGGGAGGTGGCCGCTGAGGAGGCCGGGGGCGCTGTGGAGATCACGGTCGCAGTGCTGTTGGAGGCGGTCTCCGTAGTGCCTGAAAGAGAACCACACCTGACAGTGACCTTCTGGAGAAGGCTTTGAAGGATGGTTGCTTTATTCAGCCATGCTCTAGAATCAACTGAATAATCTACCATCCAGTAACATCTACGTATGTCCTTTTCTATTAAACTGGTTCAGTGCTTCTATGGAAATTAACCACAAAAACAAACATTTTAAGAACCAAAGCCATGAATCCTACTTTAAGAGGCAAGAGTAATAAAGTAACCATGGAACAGAGAACATGGCTTTCCAATTCCAATTTCCTATTAAAAATTAAAAAAAAAAATCACAGAGGCTCTAACTATAGAACACAATTGCTCTGGAGAAGATATGTATAAGCAAAAAAATCCAAGCTTCTGAAAAGCATCTTCATTTAGAAATCTCCTTAGTCTCTTTAGAAAAATCAAAACAAAGTAATGAAGTTAAAAAAAAAGTATATTTTACTAAAATAAATATTAATAACATTCACAGAAATAGTACAAAAATAACAAAAGGCATATGCCTAGAAGTATAAAAGACTTCAGAAATGATGTAAGAACTAGACCAATCAAAATAAATCTCTCAAACCCATAAACATATTAGAAAAAAGATCTATATAAAAACTTTCTCTGTGATAAAATCTGTCACTAAGCTGTAGAAGACTCTCTTCTCTATTAGCAGCTGTATTAAAAATTCAGTCAGTTTTGTTCTTTTAGAACCTATGTTGAAGCTTTTTTCTGACCTATACTAACAACATCTAGAATTCAACTCTCATCATTTTACTGTGAAGAAACGTTTCTTCACATATCACAGAGCTAGGAGAAAATTAGACCCCATCTATTTCAGTACTGAATTCTACTTTCTCTGTTTCCTATTACGTTACACGAAAGTGCTATGTAGTCTCTGAATGATTCAGGTAAACATACCTTTCTTACTGTGAACTGAAAAAGGAGGATTTACTTACTCTTCTTTCTGCCTTTCTCAAAAATATAAGATGATTTCCTCTTCACTCTTGCTGTCCATAAGTACAAATTACATCTTTGTGGATACTATTAATCACAATATCATCATTCAGTTCTAAATCTATCAAATCGATTTATGTCACTGGGCTATTGATGCTATGCTGGTTCTTATGTTTGGCAGATTCATACACTTTTTCACTTTTTGACACTCTTCTCCTAAGACCTGCACACTGTTCTATCGAAAGGTAAACATCTTTTCTCATTTCTTTTCTACTGCTAGTAAATTTCAATCTTCTCTTGACCAATTTCTCACCTTATCTAACTTGATTTCACTTATGGGCACTACTTTCTTTTCAAAGTTCTGAGATGAAATCACCCATATCTTGAGGTCAAATGCTTAAAGTAGTGTTCACTTCATGCTTTCTTCACTCGCCATTGCCATCTTTAGACTACTCAGCATCCATTTCTTAAAGTCCCGCATGTATACAAAGAAAATCCCAATAATTTCATCAGTGAATTTAAGCTAGGCTAAGAGACAATGACTCCAGAAACCACTCAGAGTTATTTTTTTGGTTTTATCTTCCAACCACTTCCCAGGTGGCACAATGACAAGAAATGTGCCTGCCAAAGAGACACAATCTAACAATGCCAATCTCCAATGAGACACAGGGGACTTGTGTTTGATCCCTGGGTTGAGAAGATCCCCTGGAGGAGGAAACTGCAACCTGCTCCAGTGTTCTTGCCTGGGAAATCCCATGGATAAAGATGAGCTACAGTCCACAGGGTCTCAAAGAGCCAGACAGCCAAGCAGCTCCCCATACACTCACACATCCTCCAGTCACGTTCTAAGTGTCTTCACCATGAATGTCACATGAGCAATACAGTACAGTAACTTAGTAAGATCTTCAAATTATTTCTCCCAGTCAGTACATACATTTTAATCAACATGTATCTTTTATCTATATTCTTAGCAACTCAATTACTTGGGCAATTTTGATCAGGGAATTGATGTTTGCTGAGCTTCAATGTCCTCAACAACAAAATAAGATGCCATCATCCACCTCACAAGGTTAGTAGAAAGTTATCTGCAAGAATACATAGTGTTTGGCATAACCTCTTGCTTCCCATCTCATCGTTTCTAATTAAAATTTAAAAAAAATTTATTGTAGTTGGTTTAAATATTGCTCAGGTGTATAGCAAAGTAATTCAGTTATACATATGCCTATATCTACACATATATTCTCCTCCGTTCTTTTCCATTACAGGTTATTACAGGATACTGAATATAGTTCCCTGAGCTACACAGTAAATCCTTGTTGTTCACTGATTTTATATATAGTAGTTAGTATCTGTTAATCCCTATCTCTGTACTGTTATAATTTTAGTACACGTACTGCCAAGGCGAGTACCCATTTCATCTTTTTAAAAAAATAGATTTAGAGAGATAAAATTTATATGCCATAAAACTGACCCAATTTAAGTATAAAATTCAATGGTTTTTAATATATTGACAGAGTGGTACAGCCATCACCCCCATCTAGTTTATGAAAAAGATCCCTAGTGCCTATCTGTAGTCACACTTGTTCCCACCTACAGCCTCCAGTCATCTGCTTTTTGATCTGTAGATTTACCTTTCCCAGACACATCATATAAATGAATCATTTGATTTGTACTCTTTTGCATCTACTTCCTTCAGTTAGCAAGCTGTTTTCAAGGTTTATCCATGTTGTAGTAGGAATCAATACTTCCTTCTAGCTGAGAAGTACCCCACTGCACGGATAGACCACATGATGTTTAATTCATTCACCACTCGGTGGGTAATGGCTTGTTTCCAGTTTTTGATTATTATGAATAATGCTGCTATGATCATTGTGTAAAAGTTTTTGTGGAAACGTTTGCTGTTCTCTTGGGGGAATTATTGGGTAGGATGGTAAGTGAATGATTAACTTTTAAAGACACTGCCAAAGTGTTTTCCAAAGTGGCCATATCATTTTACATTTCCACCAACAATGCACGAAGATTCCAGTTTCTCCACATCTCGAAGACCTATTATTTTTGGTCTTTCTGATTATAGCGATTCTAGTATTAAGCAGTACCTCATTATGACTTTAAATGTGCATTTCTCTGAGTAATCATGCTGAGCATCTTTTCATGTGCTTATTGTCATCCCTATATCTTCTTTGATATCATGTGTCAGTTCAGTTCAGCTGCTCAGCTCTGCCCAACTCTTCGTGAGCCCATGGACTGCAAAGGCTTCCCTGTCCATCACCAACTCCCAGAGCTCACCCAAACTCATGTCCATCGAGTCGGTGATGCCATCCAGCCATCTCATCCTCTGTCCTCCCCTTCTCTTCCCACCTTCAATCTTTCCCAGCATCAGGGTCTTTTCCAAGGAGTCAGTTCTTCACATCAGGTGGCCAAAGTATTGGAGTTTCAGCTTCAGCATCAGTCCTTCCAATGTATATTCAGGACTGATTTCCTTTAGGATTGACTGGTTGGATCTCCTCACTGTCCAAGGGATTCTCAAGAGTCTTCTCCAACACCACAGTTCAAAAGCATCAATTCTTCGGTGCTCAGCTTTCTTTATAGTACAACTCTCAAATCCATACATGACCACTGGAAAAACCATAGTCTTGACCAGATGGACCTTTGTTGACAAAGTAATGTCTGCTTTTTAATATGCTGTCTAGGTTGGTCATAACTTTCCTTCCAAGGAGTAAGCATCTTTTAATTTCATGGTTGTAGTCACCATCTGCAGTGATTTTGGAGCCCCCAAAATAAAATCTGTCACTGTTACCACTATTTCCCCATCTATTTGTCATGAAGTGATGGGACTGGATGCCATGACCTTAGTTTTCTGAATGCTGAGTTTTAAGCGAATTTTTCACTCTCCTCTTTCACTTTCATCAGGAGGCTCTTTAGTTCTTCTTTGCTTTCTGCCATAAGGGTGGTGTCATCTGCATATCTGAGGTTATTGATATTTCTCCCAACAATCTTGATTCCAACTTGTGCTTCATCCAATCTAGCATTTCTCATGATGTACTCTTCATATAAGTTAAATAAGCAGGGTGACAATATACAGCCTTGATGTACTCCTTTCCCGATTTGGAACCAGTCTGTTGTTCCATGTCCAATTCTAATTCTTGCTTCTTGACTTGCATACAGATTTCTCAGGAGGCAGGTCAGGTTGCCTGGTATTCCCATCTTGTGAAGAATTTTCCACAGTTTGTTGTGATCCACACAGTCAAAGGCTTTGGTGTAGTCAGTAAAGCAGATGTTTTTCTGGAACTCTCTTGTTTTCTTGATGATCCAGAGGATGTTGGCAATTTGGTCTCTGGTTCTTCTGCCTTTTCTAAGCCCAACTTGAACATCTGGACGTTCACGGTTCACATACTGTTGAAGCCTGGCTTGGAGAATTTTGAGCATTACATTGCTAGGGTGTGAGATGAGTGCAATTGTGAGGTAGTCTGAGCATTCTTTGGCATTGACTTTCTTTGGGATTGGAACGAAAATGGACCTTTTCCAGTCCTGTGGCCACTGATGAGTTTTCCAGATTTGCTGGCATATTGAGTGCAGCACTTTCACAGCATCATCCTTTAGGCTTTGAAATAGCTCAACTGGAATTCCATCACCTCCACCAACTTTGTTCATAGTGATGCTTCCTAAGGCCCACTTGACTTCACCTTCCAGATGTCTGGCTCTAGGTGGGTAATCACACCATCGTGGTTATCTGGGTCATGAAGATCTTTTTTGTATAGTTCTTCTGTGTATTCTTGCCACCTCTTCTTAATATCTTCTGCTTCTGTTAGGTCCATACCATTTCTGTCCCTTATAATGTATATTAAATATAATATAATGTACATTAGATATAATGTTGTTATATATTAAGGTCTTCTGACCCTTTAAAAAACCAAGTTGCTTATATACTTACTATTGAGTTTTTTAAAATTCTTTATGTATTTATTTAGGCTGCTTTGCGTGGGCTTTCTCTAGTTGCAGCAAGGGGATGCTACTGTTCCTTGCAGGGCACAGGCTTCAGGGGCTGTGGCTCCCG